ACAGCTTCTCCAGTATTCTAGTGTTGTCTGAGATGACCTTGATACTGGGGAGGTTGGATCAATCGCTAGTCTGATGGTATTCATTGAATGGCAAAATAAGGCTGACTGTATGACTTGAGTGGTATAATAGTTAATGTATCAGGTTCAAACACAATCATAGTGGTCATAGAATGTATTATATTATTTATAAACTTTTTCACATAACTGAACAATTTTGAGAAAATAAAGTACAGTAAAATAAACAAACTTATGAAACTAAGAACAATAACCAATTTGTAGTATTTATATACTAATAGGCTTTGATATTTGATCCAGCATTTAATTGTCTATAGATTAAACTAATTTAGCATTAATGCCCACCCTAATGGAGTATAGGAAAAGCTATATAATGCTGCGGAAAAATGATTTGAGATTTCAATAGAAACATGTTTTGGGGTCCTGATATCGAAAAAGTTTTTTTTTTGGGGGGTGGGGGGTTCTTAACATAAAGCCTGCCTGGACACTTCAAAATTTTCTCAAATGGCACAAAATTTTTTCTTTAAATTTCTTGTAAGAATAAACTAAAGTACTTATAAAGATGGCATATATTTGATTTTCAGATGGCATATATTTGATTTTCAGGTTTAACACTCAATTTCAAAAGTTTAAAATTTTCCAAAAAAATAACAAGCAAAGTGTTTTCTCAGAAATGGCTCCATATATTTCCTTTGAGATTTGGTAGGGATAGTGATTAATGTGATAGATGATAAACACGCAATATTGCTCTATCCTTTTGTTTTTTCAAAAATTACAAAAATGCAATTTTTTGACTTGCCACTAATGTTCTTCATATTTACATTAGTGGCAATTTGTTAATATTATTGTATTTATGAGTACATGTGCTTTAAATAATATCAAATAAAGTTTCTCGGAAACTGCTGTTTTTTGTGAAAACTAGCTCAAAAGTCATTTTTTGTTTTTTAAAAAATTACACTAATGTACATTTTTTGAAATATCTCTTATGTTGTTAATATGCACATTTCCAGCTAGTGTATTTGTGAGTTAATATACTTAAAATGACTTCAAATGATGTTTTTCTGAAAATTCAAAAATTTGTCGTTAAAAAAGAGCTCAAGTTTTGAATTTACAGTAGAACTTAAACACCGGTTTTTTAAGAGAGACTCCAAATTTCTAGAAAAAAATGCCATTTAGGACGAGGTTTTACTGTTTTTTTAATAATCTTAAAATAATTTTTCCACTCTATTAGGAAACCGAAAAATGAAGAAAATGTCAAAAAAAATGTACTTTGGGCAATGATAGATGGTAGCAGGCAAGATAATGTGGAAAGTTCGAATAGTTATCAGAGACCAAAGAAAAAAAAACTAATATGGGAAAGTGTGCCATTCTTTAACACTATTTTGATTGGGGTGGCATTACACCATAAAATGAGAAAATTTCTTTGAACGAGGAATGTTTTTTTTTTCTTAACCTTGCTAATAGATGGTGTCACAAGTTAACTAGGTAATGTTGTTGTGAGAGAAGTGTTTCAAGAGCACAGAAGTATAAGTAACTCAAATTTAAAGATTTTGTGGGGTAGGGCAGTATTCCATCTTATTTAAATCGATCATATCTTATTTTTTTAAATATCGTGATTTTTTCCAGCCACGGTTTGTGTCCTTACTTCTAGGGAATGGTTATTGTTATAGAAAGTAGTGAAATCCATTTTCTATTTGAGAATGGATGAGATGTGATTGTAATTACCCTTCATACCAATGATGAAATGCGTAGGGGTCCTGAAATCAGCCAGTGATGTGGGCTGACAGCTTCTCCAGTATTCTAGTGTTGTCTGAGATGACCTTGATACTGGGGAGGTTGGATCAATCGCTACTCTGAAGGTATTTAGTGAATGAAAAAATAATGTCAAATGAATGAAGTATTCAAACATATTTGAAATTATTTTACTTATATATTTATTTGTACTTCCTAACTTATTAGTGGGAATAATAATTCTTTGCTAGGCATGTTTAATGGATTTTATGGTAATTCAATAAAAAGTTTTTGGTTCTCCAAAGTTTCAAAACTTGGTTCCCTCATCAGGGTTGTGGGACACATATTTTTACTGTTACTTCATCAAAGTTTGTTATATTACACAAAGAGAAAAAACACATACATACTGATCAACAAAGATATTAAACATAAAAAATAAACTTCTAAAAAAATACCATATATTATGTCATGAAAACCCTCAGAAACACAAAAACAAATCCACTCTCAAGCCCCATGGTAGGAATGAACTATTAATACTTCAAAGGCTGGAGGACATTAGACTGCAGTTTCCAATGCTCAGCTTCCTGCACAGTGTATTGGTTTGCTTTAGCGAAAAGCCACAGTCCATGAACCTACAGAAGTAATGATTATCACCAGTTTAAATTCAGTGGCTTAATTAATTATCCTTAATATTTTTATTAATATTAATTATTTTATACCATACATGATTGTATGGCATTGTATAGTATGGTACAATAAAGTTTCAAAACATTCCTAGCATTAATATTATCTTGAAATCAAGCTATTGGTAATTCTTTGATTTACTGCAAATTATTATTATTATTATTATTATTATTATTATTATTATTATTATTATTATTATTAACTGTGAATGGATGAAATTTGAATGTAACTGCCCTCCATACCAATTATAAAGTGTGTAAGGGTCCTGAAATCAGCCAGTAATGTAGGATGACAACTTCTCCGGTATTCTCGTGTTGTCTAAGTTGAGTCATACTGGGAATGTTGGCTCAGTTGCTACTCGGAAAGTATTCTTGGAATGAGAAAATGAGGATGATTTTATGTATGAGATGGACAAATTTGTAATCAATGTAAAAAAATTTGTTTTCACGTCAGTTCCTGTACTTAATAGTGGTAATTGTTAAGGGTTTCTATGTGAGAATGGATGAAGCATGAATGTAATTACCCTTCATACCAATGATGAATTGCGTAGGGGTCCTGAAATCAGCCAGTAATGTGGGCTGACAGCTTCTCCAGTAATCTTGTGTTGTCTGAGACGACCTTGATACTGGGGTGGTTGGATCAATCGCTAGTCTGATGGTATTGTTCGGGCAATACATTGAACGTGTAATTTCTTTTATTTATTGAATGTATATGCTTCATTGTTATATGTATGTTTTATAATAAAACTTCAAAAGCTTACTTTGTCAAGAAATATTTGAAAAGTTTTGTATATACTGTTAATGATTTAAAGTATTCTTCTATTTTCAGGGTCCTGTTGGGAAAGGTCCAGGTTGTGGGTTTTGGGCTCCTGGATGGAGAGTCTGGTTGTTCTTCATGCGTGGAATTACTCCTCTTTTGGAAAGATGGTTGGGAAACCTTTTGTCTCGTCAATTTGAGGGTAGACATTCCAAAGGAGTTGCAAAAACTGTTACAAAGCAAAGAGTTGAAAGCCACTTTGATTTGGAATTGCGTGCATCTGTAAGTAACAGTTAATCAGTATGACATCTGTCAACATACATAGCCAAGAATTAAATGCTAAAAGTTAGTGTCTTATCATTGCTTTTTTACAGATTTAAAATTTATTCTAGTACCATGCAACATTGTGTTCAAAGTTCTTAATAGTGCAATTTCATTTTTTTATTTTAGCCTCGACAAGATATTAGGTAGATGGTTAAAACCCACAAAATACTAGAAAAAGTGGTTAAACCATCTCGTAAGGTTTTTCGTGTAACAATAATATTCCTTTCTTGAAGAGGAATTTTCTGTTTTAGAAACCACTTAGGTGGTATTGATAATGTGATCAATTCAAAATCATTTTCGTGTAATATCAAATAACAGTTTAGAAATGAATATACTTACAGTAAAACTTCACTTATGTTTTTCAAGGGACTGAAGGGAGAAAAACTCATAATTGAAATTAAATATTATGAGCAAAATAAAAACTCAATATTTTTGCCCTACTATTTTATTACAAAAGATATTACCAAAAAAGAATAATTCAATAAATAAATGCATGTAAAAAAATTGCTGATGAATAATGTCTGTAATCTTGGTGTGTTTAACATTGATTCACATAAGAGTGCAGTAGTACGCAATACGTATTCAATGATTTGAATAGTCATAAAATCTATATTAATTTATCTCTGAAGTCTTAAAATTTACTATAAATTTATATATTATGTTTTTATTTAAAATGTTATATTTAAATTGCATTGTGTGATTGAAATTTAAAAAAATGTAAATATGGGTTTCTTGGAAATTAAATTTATCTAGTCTCAAGTTCCCTTCCCATAATAACTCTGTAATTTTTTGAAGTCCCGCTGCCGGAACTGTCGGCCTGGGTGCCAACTTTGCACTACCAACCCACAGGCTTGCACAGTCTTGGCCCCTCAGCTAGGCTGAGTCAAGCTTCTATATTACAAGTTTCATTAAAGCGAAGTTGCCTCAGAAGCCGAGAGGTCGGTCTAGAAGCGCACTGGAGCTTGCAAACTTGTGTAACATGCAAATTCTGGGCTCTTGGCGCGGGTCACCCTGTGCCTCTCTCCGGGATCATTTGAAACATGCAGTCTTATAGGGATTTCTATTATGAAAGTATAAGTGTGAAAAATGTATGAACGTAAAACGCATAACTGAAATAATTTAGCATGAGAATTATAAGAATTTATTTGGGACTCACCAAAAATATGTATTAACGTATAAGTGAGAAACGTTTAAATGGATTTTCAGTGTAGTTGTGGTAATACGTTAGAAGTAAGTTTTGCAAAACAAAAATCGTGTATTGTGGCTTCAATAGAATGTATTTTTGCAGGTGATGCATGATATTGTTGACATGATGCCTGAAGGTATCAAGCAGAATAAGGCAAGAACAATTTTGCAGCATTTATCTGAAGCTTGGCGTTGCTGGAAAGCCAACATTCCATGGAAGGTACAGACCATTAGTACTTTCTGGTAATCAAAACTAAAATCATAAGGATAATTCTTTGAAAGACATGACTTCTTTCTGTTGTATTACTGACATTAGTAGTACTTAATGTTGACTAGAGTATTTGTGTTATTAAGTGCAAGTTTAAAGTTACCATATTCATCACTGTATGAAGACTTGTGTAAAGAGATCTGGAAAAGTCTGTAATGTGGGTGGACTGATGGATGCTCATCCAACATTACCGGAAGTATCTTGCACAAGGAAGTTTTTTGTGACTGAGGGTTAATAAAATTATGTATACAGGTTCCTGGATTACCAACTCCCATTGAAAATATGATTTTACGATATGTGAAAATGAAGGCAGATTGGTGGACCAACACTGCTCACTACAACAGAGAAAGAATTCGTAGAGGTGCAACTGTAGATAAAACTGTCTGCAAGAAGAATTTGGGCCGACTTACTAGGTTGTACTTAAAAGCTGAACAAGAAAGACAGCATAATTATTTGAAGGTATGAAAGATAAGACATCGATAAGAAGATTTTTGATTTTATTTTGATTAAAGTAATAATTAGTAATTACATTTAGTTATTGTAAGAATTATAACTGAAAAAACTTCTGAGTTCTCTTCAAAATTAGGTGTTATTCTTGTATTGACAGGTTGATTCACCTTAAAGTTGTCAAGTATGGTATCTTTGTTTTTCACTGTGATCTGCAAATACATGGAATTTTGATTCAATGCATACATGAATTCTTTTGTTATTAATGTGTGTTCCTTCCCATAGGATGGTCCCTACATTTCTCCAGAGGAAGCAGTAGCTATTTACACTACTACAGTGCACTGGCTGGAGTCTCGTAGATTTGCACCTATTCCTTTCCCTCCATTGTCTTATAAGCATGATACTAAGTTGCTTATTTTGTCTTTGGAGCGTTTGAAAGAAGCGTACAGGTGAGTGAACCAAGTGATATTTGTTATAAACCTTGAAGAAAATCATAGGAAATAATTTTGATTATTTAATTTTTGTAGTGTCAAGTCACGTCTAAATCAAAGTCAGAGAGAGGAACTTGGTTTAATTGAACAGGCCTATGACAATCCTCATGAAGCCTTGTCGAGAATTAAGCGTCATCTCCTCACTCAGAGAGCTTTCAAGGAGGTAAAGTTGCCATACTTTATTATGCTGCCAAGAGTAGTTATTGTTAATTAATCTGATAAGTGATAAATACAATTATCACTTCCGCTTAAGTTATTTAGTTGAATGTTTTAATTAGGGGTTGTTTTTTTTTGGTAGGTGGGCATTGAATTTATGGACTTATATAGTCACTTAGTACCTGTCTATGATGTAGAACCACTTGAAAAGATCACGGATGCTTATTTGGATCAGTATTTGTGGTATGAAGCAGATAAAAGAAGATTGTTTCCGCCATGGGTGAAGCCTTCTGACACAGAGCCTCCACCATTGTTAGTTTATAAGTGGTGTCAAGGTATGTGAATGTTTATGAATACAAGTATGGGTTCTTTCATTATTTTTATTTTGAAATGCTACAAATTATCATTTTGCTTGTGTTTCAGGTATAAATAATCTCCAAGACGTTTGGGATGTCACTGAAGGAGAATGCAATGTCCTTTTGGAATCAAAATTTGAGAAAATGTATGAGAAAATAGATTTGACTCTTCTTAATAGATTGTTACGCTTGATTGTTGACCATAACATTGCAGATTACATGACAGCAAAAAACAATGTTGTCATAAATTACAAGGTAATTTTGGATTGGCTTGACTATGTAAATTTTGGGGATACTTCTGCAAATCTAGTTATGAGTGGACCACAATGTTCATTTATTCACTGACATCAACATGAGCTCTGCTTCCTCATGGGGCCAATCTTAGTGCAAAAAATATGAAACATAGGGATGACTTACTCTCCGTTATTGTAATAAATGCGAAGCAATCGGCTTCCTTCCATGACAACATGGCAAACAATAATGTACCAGCAAGCAGAAAGATGGTTATATACTTACTTATGGGGACTATGACACTTTCCTACACATGTTAATGTTAGGTAAGGCTGCAACCCTCAGCCTCCACGATTTAAAAAAACAAACAAAAACAAACTTAGTTTAATTTCAAAGTACTTTTGGGGACTATTCTAGTGCAGAACTGGTTATGCACAAACTACAATAAAGTATCAAAAAAGCATGGACTAGTCTCCACTCAAAAGTAGGGAGACAGTTTAAAATTTGTCATCCTGTGCTTTGATATTGCTTTTATATGCAAGTGAACAGTGCACTATGCATAACCAGTTTGTGGTAGTATACCCTAAATTTTAATTATAATGTAATAATTTGCTCAAAAGGTCTTTCAAATAATTTTTTATCTCAAGTTAAAATATTTTTATCCTATAATTAAAAATTGGTGGTGTTTGGATAAATAAATTATTTCCTCAATATTGTTAAATTTAAAGTTTTTATGAGTCCAGTCTCGAAATAGTTTTAAACTGAATAATATTGTTTTAAACTGAATAATATTGTTTTAAACTGAATAGTATTGTTTTAAACTGAATAGTATTGTTTTAAAATAATTAGGTCAACTCTGTAAATAGGTAGGAACAGCAATAATGAATACTGTGGAGGTTTGGTAAATGTTCTTAAATCCTTAACCAAACTTGTCTACTTAAGAATTTATCCTGTGATCACAGGATTTTAGTTAATCCTGAATTTGTTAATCATTAAAATAACAAGCTTTAGTCAATTTTCTTATTGAAGTTGATCATTGAAAATATTGTTTTTCTCATTGTACCATTTTGTTTTTTTATAAAGCTGTAAAGTTTGTAACATTTTGAATTAACTTTTTTTTCTGGTAAAATTTGTGCACTTGAGGCAACAGTAGTACACATGAATAAATGAGAATTTAATTTTTTTGTTACTTTTGATTCCAGTAATTTGTTTCTTTCTTTTTCAGGATATGAACCACACTAACAGCTATGGGATCATTCGCGGTCTTCAATTTGCTTCGTTTATTGTGCAATATTATGGATTGGTGTTGGATTTGTTGGTCCTTGGTTTGCAGCGTGCATCAGAAATGGCAGGTCCTCCTCAAATGCCCAATGATTTTCTCACATTCCAGGATGTTGCCACAGAAACTGCACATCCTATCAGGCTTTTCTGCCGTTACGTTGACAGAATTCACATTTTCTTTAGGTTAGTACACAGTGCAAAACTACCTGACTTTTAGCATGGCATTGAATGATTTTATTGTCAATAAACAATGATTAAAATTAGTTCATATGTGAAGCTAGGCCTAGCTTAAGTAATCATTGGACATACCTGATATAATCTTGAAGAATTAAAAGGGTTACAATCATACTCAGTTTGATAGTTAGCACATTGTGAACCGACACCTTGGAAGGCTACCTTGCCTCAGTTCCAGGCCATTTTCACTTGGTGCTGTGTGGATATGGAGGTGTTGAATAATAGCTTTATATTTCTTTCACCTTGCTGCAAAATTAATCCCATTTGAGCCTACTGTTTCAAAAATGGAATTATCAATTTGAAGGGTTATCTCTAATATTCTTTTGCAAATTTTATTTCGGAGACATCCTAAACGAAATATAAGCAAGGTTTTTCATTTCACGTTCTCAGATGTAGAATTAGCCAAGATCGCTAAAGCATTATTCGCTCCCAGCCAGGGTGTATTCATGTCTTGCTTTGATTTGAATCTCCATCTAAAGATGTTCTGAGCTGCTATATGCCTGTGATGAAGTAGGATGGGGAGGCCGGTGACGCACTGAAGTGGACAGGACATATGTTGCTAAGGTCTTATGGTTTTGTTCCTAAAGCACTCCAAAGATTTTTTTTTTTTTTTTTCCAGAAGAATTTAGGGAGGGAAAATGTTTTGAAGTGCTTTTCTAGTACAATTTACAACGTAATAATGGTTTAGCATTAAAAGTTGTAAAAACATATTACCAGAGTTCCAACAATGATGGACGTACCACAATGGGTGACATAGCTATGCATACAAAATAACATTGGGCTTAAAATGTGATATAGGAGGCAGGGAAAGTTCTAGGAGCACTTGTCAACTCATTTGAGACATAGATGTCTCACAAATAAGTAGTACGCTAAGACAATCTTAGCCTTCAGTCCTTGCTGGTTGGGTGGGAAAGAAATTTCTGTCTTTGGTCCACAATGTGTGAAAGAATTTTTAAAAAGAAAATGAATGAAGAATGAAAGTGAAAAGAAATTAAGTATGAAATAATATTTTTGTAATACACATCCTTGAAAGGTTTAATCTAAATACAGGAGATTTATTTAGTGAAAGGTATTCTGGTAAAAACTGGAAATTCTGTTATTTGTCATTATGCAATTTTTTAATTTCATTTCTTCAATTCTTTTGTAGATTTTCTGCTGATGAAGCTAGAGACCTTATTCAGAGGTATCTTACTGAACATCCTGATCCTAACAATGAGAACATTGTAGGTTACAACAACAAGAAATGTTGGCCAAGAGATGCAAGAATGAGGCTAATGAAGCATGATGTGAATTTGTGAGTAACAATGATTTAATTTAATGAAAATAAAGAAAAGATGGTAGTTCCTCATATATTATTTGATTTAATTCTAGGGGCCGTGCTGTTTTCTGGGATATTAAGAACAGATTACCCAGATCCACTACAACTATACAGTGGGAGAATAGTTTTGTTAGTGTGTATTCCAAAGATAATCCAAATCTTTTATTTAATATGAGTGGTTTTGAATGTCGCATTCTTCCCAAGGTAAGGATCTTATGGTCAATAAATATGAATGAAAAATCACTAGTTTTGGTTAAACAATTTTTTTATGATCTCTTCACTTTATGTTCAGGAAATATTATTTTGGAATTAATGCAGACATGACTTGTATCATTGCACATTTATGAAATGTTCTATTTATATTTTCTTAGTGTTTTTCTCTAAGTAATTACTTTACAGTGTCGTACAACACATGAAGAGTTTACCCATAGAGATGGTGTTTGGAATTTACAAAATGAAGTAACAAAGGAAAGAACTGCTCAATGTTTCTTACGTGTTGATGAAGAATCACTGCAAAGGTTTCACAACAGAGTAAGGCAAATTTTAATGGCGAGTGGTTCTACAACATTCACCAAAGTAAGTTTTTATAATAACACATTAAGAATAGTAATGACATTACAATATACTTGGTATCAGAGCACATGGAGTATGGATATTACATGGGTTATATTATTTTTTAGATTGTGAATAAATGGAACACAGCCCTCATTGGTCTCATGACATATTTTCGAGAAGCTGTTGTTAATACTCAAGAACTTCTCGATTTGTTGGTTAAGTGTGAAAACAAAATTCAGACTCGTATCAAGATTGGTTTAAATTCAAAAATGCCTTCAAGATTTCCTCCTGTAGTATTTTACACTCCAAAGGAATTAGGAGGCTTGGGAATGTTATCAATGGGCCACGTGTTGATTCCTCAGGTAAGATATTCCTTACATTTAATCTACTCACAGAAGAATATTGTAGGTGTTGTCACTTACATCATCCAAATCATTTACAGTCTGATCTGAGGTGGTCCAAACAAACTGATGTTGGAATCACTCATTTCCGATCCGGTATGAGCCATGATGAAGATCAACTCATCCCAAACTTGTATCGCTACATCCAGCCGTGGGAATCTGAATTTATTGATTCTCAGAGAGTTTGGGCTGAGTATGCTCTGAAAAAACAAGAAGCCAGTGCACAGAATAGGAGGCTTACTTTGGAAGACCTGGAAGACAGTTGGGATCGTGGCATTCCTCGTATTAATACTTTGTTCCAGAAAGATAGGCACACTTTGGCATATGATAAGGGTTGGAGAATACGAACTGAATTCAAACAGTATCAAGTATGTTAATTTTTTTGTTCGTGTATTTTTAATGTACATGTGTATAGTTATGTTGAGTTAATATATGTAATTGATATGGTAGGTATTGAAGCAAAATCCTTTCTGGTGGACTCACCAACGCCATGACGGTAAACTTTGGAACTTAAATAATTACAGAACTGACATGATTCAGGCTTTGGGTGGTGTTGAAGGTATTCTGGAGCACACACTCTTCAAAGGAACCTATTTCCCTACCTGGGAGGGTTTGTTTTGGTAAGATTCCCATTTCCAAATAGTTTGTCACAGTAATTACAAAGACGCCTCTGCTTCCTCTGTTATTTAAAAGTTTATATTGTTCAGGGAGAAGGCATCTGGTTTTGAGGAATCTATGAAATACAAGAAACTGACCAATGCTCAGAGATCAGGTTTGAATCAAATTCCCAACAGACGTTTCACTCTCTGGTGGTCACCTACCATCAACAGAGCCAATGTGTATGTTGGTTTCCAGGTGTGTTCTTTCACTTTTATTTGTGTTGATTTGAAATTGTTTTGATTATCTTGTATAATACTTTTTGTTTTGTATGTAGGTACAATTGGATTTGACTGGCATCTTCATGCATGGCAAAATCCCAACTTTGAAAATCTCTTTGATCCAAATCTTCCGTGCTCATTTGTGGCAAAAAGTGCACGAGTCAATTGTCATGGATCTCTGTCAAGTATGTTGCATTGTGTTAACACAAGTTATATATTCTATTGTGTCAGAAAACTGAAAATTGGCTTTCATTCACAGGTATTTGATCAAGAACTGGATGCTCTGGAAATTGAAACTGTACAAAAAGAGACTATTCATCCTCGAAAGTCATACAAAATGAACTCATCCTGTGCTGACATACTTCTCTTTGCAGCTTATAAATGGAATGTTTCACGACCTTCTCTTCTTGCTGATTCCAAGTAAACACACGGTTGATTTTATTCTGAACAATTTGTTGTATGTGTATTATCTACTTGGTAATTTAATTTTTTGCTCTTCAGGGATACAATGGATAACACAACAACGCAAAAATACTGGATAGATGTTCAGTTGCGTTGGGGAGATTATGACTCTCATGATATTGAGAGATATGCCAGAGCTAAGTTTCTGGACTACACCACAGACAACATGTCAATTTATCCCTCTCCTACTGGCCTGCTTATTGCCATTGATTTGGCATATAATCTCCACAGGTAATTTTATAGATTTTTTTTCTTCCTATTTTAAGTCTTTGTTAGATGAGTTTGTTTTTTAGGTTAACAAAGTTTAGTTGATCAGGAATGTACTGCTGCACAAAAAGTATATAAATGTGAATGTAGATTTGTTGTTGAATTTTTTGAGAGGGAGGGTAATTGCTCTAAGAAATTTCACCTTCTTGTTTCGTACTACAAATATTTTCCAGAGAACATTAAAAAAAATTTTGTTACAGTGCATATGGCAATTGGTTCCCTGGATGCAAACCTCTCATCCAACAAGCAATGGCTAAAATCATGAAGGCAAATCCTGCCTTATATGTGCTGAGAGAGCGGATCAGAAAAGCTTTGCAGTTGTACTCATCAGAACCAACTGAACCTTACTTGTCCTCTCAAAATTATGGAGAATTATTTTCCAATCAGATCATTTGGTAAGAATTTGTGAACTTACTCTCAGAATTACAATAGAATTACATCATTTATAGAGGAGGTAATATATGTGAAAGTCATAGTGCAAATATGATTAAATATATTTCTTTCAATGTTATTGCAGATTTTGAGGCTGTATTTAAGAATTTAATCTCTTGAATTTACAAAAGTTTTTTCCACATTCAAATACTATTACACCTGTGTATGAGGAGTTGTTGCAATTTTTCTTGCTAGTCTGCATTTTCAGATAATACTGTTAATTTAATTTTTATAAATAATTACAAGACCTGTTGGTAGAATTCTGATGGAATTTTGATTTTACATTTATTGTACTGTGTTTCATAAAACTTCAGTGTTTTACCTCTTCAGGTACTATTATTGATTAAAAGAAAAATAATTTAGAAGTCCGTAAGAAGTTATGGAGATTCTAGCAATTTTCTGGTAATGAGCGGAGCCAGATGATCACTTGTTCTAAAACACCCCCTCCACTACTCGTTACCAACCTATCAAGGGAAAAAGGGTGACAAAGTTCTTTGGGATGGAAATGCATGAAGTAAACAAATAAAGACTGATTTATGTGAATTCATTTCAGAAGTAGCCCACACTTTTACAATGTTTGTGTGCATCCCAGTTACAGGATCTATGAAGTGAAGAAGGGATTCACTGCCATATGAATGACCATTGATTGAAACGGTACTCAATTGTGGTGTACAGCTAGGCTTGCAATAAAAAATTAGTTTTTAGCATTTTGTTAGCCTTAAATCATGTCCCTCCATCACTTCTGTGTAGCAGTCTGTGCTTAGATCACTAACAATAACTGCATTAAATTGACCCTTGGCATCCTCAAAACTCAAATATGCACAAACTGAAAAGTAAAATCCGAAAAGAATTCTAATTCAAGTCAGATGGTGAAACGAGTGAATGTCACAGTTGATATCCTACATAAGTGGTTGATAATTTAGTACACCTAATCTCCCAAGACTCAATGGCTTCATTAATCAGAAGAGTAGAAAAATGTGGCTTGTCAATGTAAATATCTCAAACATCAAAACCAGGCTGAGTTTTCTATGTATACCATTTATCAATGTATTGAATTACGTAAGCAAAGTCTATTTACTATGAGTATTAGATGAACATATGGTTTTGAGCAGTGTGTTACTGAAAACATGAGTTTTTAATCACTCACTAGTTTTGCTAATTGGAAATTGTTTTGCAGGTTTGTTGATGACACAAATGTGTACAGAGTGACAATTCACAAGACTTTTGAAGGTAACTTGACTACAAAGCCTATAAATGGAGCTATTTTCATTTTCAACCCTCGAACTGGACAACTCTTCCTGAAGATCATTCATACTTCTGTGTGGGCTGGTCAGAAACGTCTAGGTCAGTTAGCCAAATGGAAAACTGCAGAGGAAGTAGCAGCCTTGATTAGATCTCTTCCAGTAGAAGAACAGCCAAAACAAATAATTGTTACCCGAAAGGGTATGTTAGATCCTCTCGAGGTATGTAGCACTGTGGGATTTTGGTATATGTGCTTTGATAAAATATTTAAATTTATTGTTTTAACAGTCCATTTTCTAAATTTGTACAGTACTTTTATATTTTAAGTATCCAATTTTACTTTGTTGCATACTACTACATAGTGTATAAAAAATTATGTAATGCATTGAGAAACCAGGATTTTTTGACAGACTTCTTGGGGGCCCCTGTTGCCCAAAAAGAAGGTAATTGTTGCTCCTATAAGGGCTGGTTTCACCAACAGCCGAGTAAAGTTGAGAGTAGTGGTCTGAGAGTAACCATTTACTCCAAGATAGTAACTCTCGAGTAGAATGAGTGTTTCACCATGCTTCTACAGGGTTATTTTACTTTGGAGTACATACTCTCCGATTTACTCCGCGAATCAGCTGAACGCATAATATTTGAGAGCGAGAGTGACGCTGGGAACCACTGCGGACCAACGCCTACCTTTGTTTAATTCCTTATATTCTATCATTCATTTCAGATTCGGAGTTCTTGGCGTTATCTTGTATGGTGTTATCGTGATTTGAGTTGGCATAGTTTATTTCTTAGTTTTTGTATCTTTATTTCTTAATATTTATTCTTCTTCTCTGGAGACGAGTTACTATTTTGTTAGCTGTGCAGAAAAATCAAATTTGCAGTTCATTTACTGATGGCAATGCAAATAAATTTTGCTATTACTCTGGAATGAAAATGTTTAGTTTTTCAAATGTTGCTGATCTCGCGTTTTTCTAAATATTATTATTATTATTATTATTATTATTATTATTATTATTATTATTATTATTATTAGTTTTATTATTATTATTATTATTATTAGTTTTATTTTTTAAACTTGTATTCAATATTTATAGTTAAAATGTTGGAAAGGGATTCTGGAACTCAAGAAAACGGGCGCAAATGATCTCCCCCATATGTCACATACAGTTTTACTAAATAAATAAATATTTCTATGTACTTGTAGTCCCTGTAGTAATTATTTTCCTTTTGTTATTGCATACGGTACGTACTACCTTTATTTCGTATCCACATGGGTGAAAAAGAAATTTACAAGTTCTCTACAGTTTACAATGTACGTGAAGAAGTTAAACAGCTGATTTGGTCAAACATAACCTCATGACAAAATCTCGATCGTCATAATTAAAACCAATCCATTCTCTCTCGCACCCTTCGTCTTCACACTAGTGGGTAATATTCCGAATCTTTGCTGTAATAGTCTTCAAATACTATCATTCGTAATCGTCGAGCCGTAACAACACTTCGGAGGTACATGTACGTTGAAAACTGAATTTACTCTGTACTTTACCCAAAGTATTTTCGCAGTGTAAAATTACTCTTGAATTTACTCTCGTTTAAGCAATTTACACTAAAGTGTTGGTGAAACGCCCCAAGATGTTACTCTCGAGTAAACATGATTTACTCCAGAGTAAACTCTTACTCTGTTTGGTGAAACGGGCCCTAAATAAACTCATAAATTACACCCTCTAATTAGATGCGAGTCAGAATCAATGTTTTATGGGTCCGTGATACCCAAAAAATTCCTTTATAGCTAAAAGTCCATTTATCTGTCTGGTATTAGTAAACAGCCTAGCAGCTAAATGATAGATAGTATTTTCACCAAAATTATGATATTCCGTATCATCACTTAAATTTGAAGCTAAGTTGTTTTTGTGGGTATTTTACCTCAAGATTTTCAGAAATTTCCCAGAATTTTCTTCCATCTTCAATAGAGTGCAATTTAAGAATTGAGAAGTTCCAATTTTTCTTGAAGTCTTTAAATTTTTGAAAACAGCAAAAGTTACTTTTGTGTGTTCCTACAGCTAAAATATTGAAGGTAGTTTTTTTGAAATCTGTGCTTCAAAAGTACATAAGAAATGTCAGGTAAATGTTTTTTTGAAGTGCTAGTAACTTTCACATAATTTTGAGTGAAATTTTGACAGCATTCAAGAATTAAAGATCTCTCAAATTCTGAAAACATTTTCTTAATAATTTAATCTCAAACTCTTCCAATTTTCATTAAAATTCTAGAATTTTTGAAAATTGCATATGCTCAACTTTCTTTTTAAATTGTTGGGTTAGGTTTGTTAAGTAGGCACAACTGATTGTTGTAGCGGTTAGGTAAATGGCTGTACCTAAATACCAGAGTTCTAATACCTTGCATGGGCAAACATGTTTGTGGGTTGGAAACATTTTGTTGTTTCAAGTAGTGTTAAAATATTATGTAACCAAATTATACAAATAATGTTAGATACAAATGTCAGAATGTTGGCAGATTTTGAAGAATCAATTGCATGGATCAGGTTTTCATGGATCAAATATATTTGTGAAATTGGTAAGTCATACTGTTTTTTGTAAATTTATTTTAGGTACATTTGTTGGACTTCCCTAACATTGTCATCAAGGGTTCAGAATTGCAGTTGCCATTCCAAGCATGCCTTAAAGTAGAGAAATTTGGTGATCTCATCTTGAAGGCTACTGAGCCTCAGATGGTCTTGTTCAATTTGTACGACGATTGGCTGAAAACAATATCATCTTACACAGTAAGTTTAAAATATTTCCTTTTGTTCAAATGTTACTTATGTTGCATTGCAAACAAACTGCAATAGATTTTTATTCTTCTGTTATTATTATTATAATTATTGTCATTATTTTTGCTGTTATTGTTATGACTGATTATTTGTTAATAAAATGTCTTTTAGGCATTTTCACGCCTTATACTCATTTTGAGAGCCTTGCACGTTAACACGGAACGTACAAAAGTCATCTTGAAACCTGATAAAACCACAATCACTGAACCACATCATATCTGGCCAACTTTAAGTGATGAAGAGTGGATTAAAGTTGAAGTTCAACTTAAAGATTTGATTTTGGCTGATTACGGCAAGAAAAATAAGTAAGTATTGCCCAGATTAATTACTTTAAAAATATTTTAACTTCATGCTTTATGGGTATGAGATAATTATTTTTTCTATGATTATATGAAACTGAGTTTCTGAGTACTGCTAAGCCTGCACGAAGTTTTTTTGCAGCCTCAAGTGACACTGAATAATACCTTTTTTTATGACACAAGTATTATAACTGAATTACAAAAATAATGTCCACATTAAGTACAAATTAAGTTTAATAACAAAACATAAAACTTTGTAAACATTTTAATTAGGAAGATGAAAATATTATAAATAACACAACAGATATTAAGAAAGTAACACCATCATGTTTTCCATGGTAATGAATATTAATAGTGCAATTCATACAATTACTTCATACATGAAAGCCTGACAGACTAATTATGCTATTATATTGACTAGATTCTGCGACATTTATATATTTATTTACTGTTGTGAAAACATATTGCTCATTTTGAGGAAAATTCCGATTTTTAGATATTGATGCTATCAATCCTGATATTTTGTTGAATACAGGTATTTTATTTTCCAAACTATAATGACTTTTACTCATTACTGTCATGAATTTTAATGATTAACACTGAGTCCTTATATTCAGTATTATCATCCACATATTCATAAATTTCTCATGCCTTCAGGCACTAGAAGTCCCCAGTATATAGATGTTCTACAAATGGTATTAAGTAAATACTAAATAAATACTACATAAATATTTACAAAAATCATACATAGATAATTAAATTATTAGAATGTCTATACCTTCATGAATACATAATCTTAGTCATAAGCCCCTTATAAGACGTTAGTGGTATATTCTTTGGAAAAACTTTTTTTGCCTATACCCAACCAATTTCTTATTTACTGTACTGACAGTGTAGAAGCGACTGACAGTTCTCTCATGTGACCTGCTCTGGAGCAATTGGCTTGCGAGGATTTGTTTACTTTCTTACAGCCAGAGTTTAGTGTTGCTGCTCATCTGACTGGCACAAAGTCGCAGAGGCAATATGGTTCGGTTTTGGTGAAGTTAGGAACATGACATTGCAATGTTTCATAGTCTGTCAGTAAATGTTAATGTTCTGAGATTTAATTTATCTGTGATGTAGGTGGTGCTATGAGTGTAGTAATGTGTGGCAACTGTACACTGAACTGTCAGTTGCTTACATGCTGCCAGTACTGTAAGTAACTAAGTATGGCACTAATTTATTGAATTTCTTAAAGTCTGTGTTAACATTTATGTTTATATAAGTGTAACTACTACGAGGTGGTGAATCTTTGGACTTCTCATCCAAAAACATCATTCTCTGTTTAACAAACTTTGTTCGGTACACACCCATTTTTCTGGTTTATACCTATTGATTTCTCAGGTTGTGAATTTCATACCCTAGTGTGTGCCCTATAGTACCTTCTGTGGTATATTGATAGTGTAATCTTCCATGTAAAGTTCTTTGTTACCACAACATGTTTTGATATTGACTATTAAAGGTTTTGTCTTTTGTATATCTAGACCATGAACTCCATACAATTCTAGAATGTTAGACTTTTTTTCAATGAAGCCATACAGACTAGAAATAAGACAAATCATGACTACTAATAAAAGCATTTTTATATGATTGTAGAAAAAATGTTCAGATTTTCTTTGTGAGATTTTGTTGTTGTTGTTTTTTGGGGTGGGGGGGGATTAATTTTCTGCAGAGACCTACAGGTCGAGTACTTATTCACATACTTAATACAAAAATAACTAATATCTAATAGAGAAATGTTTTTATTCTAGTGTCAATGTTGCATCATTAACACAGTCTGAAATTCGTGACATAATTCTTGGTATGGAGATCAGTGCACCATCTGCTCAAAGACAACAGATTGCAGAAATTGAGAAACAGACCAAGGAACAAAGCCAACTTACAGCTACAACTACTCGTACTGTCAATAAGCATGGTGATGAAATTATTACTTCGACTACTTCTAATTATGAGACTCAGACTTTCAGGTAAATATGTTGAATCCTTGGAAATGCAGTGATGATATTTGGAAAATCTGATTGTAAATTGTTTACATTTTTTCTTATTTGTTTAGTTCGAAGACGGAGTGGCGTGTTAGAGCAATTTCTGCAACTAATCTTCATCTGCGCACTAATCATATTTATGTGTCTTCTGATGACATCAAAGAGACTGGTTATACCTACATCTTGCCCAAGAATGTTCTTAAGAAATTTGTTACAATCTCAGATCTTAGAGCACAGGTAAGACAGCAATGGTGTGATAATGCTGAGAAGGGTAGCAAGCTGAATATCACATCGAGAGTTCTTTATATATAAACTTTAAATTTTAAACACAAATGCTCCTAAGATATTCTTACATTGAAGGTGTTTTTTCCTCACTCTGTTAATGACCCCCCCCCCTCCCCCCTCTTTTTTGTTCTTAGATTGCTGGATACTTGTATGGCATCAGTCCTCCGGATAACCCACAGGTGAAGGAAATCAGGTGCATTGTAATGGCACCTCAGTGGGGTACTCACCAAACTGTCCACCTTCCAAACCAGTTGCCTCAGCATCAGTACCTGAAGGAAATGGAACCACTGGGCTGGATTCATACACAGCCTAATGAACTGCCTCAGCTTTCTCCTCAAGATATCACTACCCATGCAAAAGTAATGGCTGATAATACCTCTTGGGACGGAGAGAAAACTATCATCATTACTTGCAGTTTTACCCCTGGATCATGTTCTCTAACAGCCTACAAACTTACTCCTAGGTAAGGGTAGTCTTTATTTATTATTTGAAGATAGACATTTGTTCATAATTAAGTTGGACTTTTGCCAAGTTAAATGAAAGATGAAAAAAAATGGTAATGTTTAAATCTAAGTATCCCATTTCCTCTCTATTTGAATTTTATTTTAGCATAATTTAATTCACAAATAATTTTCCCAGAATTCCCCTGCTGAGTTTTTAAGCGAAATTAGCAGTATTATTAAGAAATTGACTGGAAATGAGAAAATGTGCAGATCTACCTATATTTGTGATAAGTCTTCTTGGATACAGCAATAACATACAGTGTATTTGGAGTCACAGTACAATAGTTCTTTACATACCAAGAATTTCACAAATTAACTATTCCATAATACATCATGTGAATAACAAAAATTTTAGAGCAGGCACCCTCTTCCTTTGAGTCTTATGACAAGTCAGTTCTCATTAGCAGTGAAACATTGAGTATGAGAAAAGGTATAACGCAACAAATATTTACATTTACAGTCAAAATCGAAACTGTTTCATTGTTTTTGGATTTCCCCCCACCCCCACCCCCTGAATGTAATGATATGACACTTCTCACTCTTGGTTGTCGGCTGCATATCTTTTTTCAATATCTGCACATGTTGGAATTTAGTAAATTAGATAGCGAAATTTTGTTGTTGGGGAAAAAAGTCTGTTATTAAGGTTCTTTTCTCATTGCATGATCTAATATGACATGATCCTAATATGAAATAAGAGTTGCATTACTTCAACATGAATTTACAAATGAGAATGCTTAATTCTTATTAGTTGAGAGGATCATAGCAATAATGTACAGTAATTGGAAGAGGTTTTTTCAAAATTTTCCACCAAAAACTGAATTTTTTAAATTGTGTACTACAGTTGTTCACAATGTTTGTCTTAATTTCTTTAAAGGAGGGTTTTTTGATCAATTAGATTTAAAATCTTAAATATGCAATGAAGATTCAATAGTGTGACATGTGTATAGAAAGAAATTACCAAGGAAGAATTGCTTAAATATTTTGCAAAAAAAAGAAAAATATTTGTGAAACAAGATGAATCCAATAATATTTTGAAAAACTTAAATTAAAAACTTGGCCATAAAGGCAAAATACTGCAATACTTGTGTAATACTGAGTTTTAATTTCATGAAAGGGAAATTATTTTGCATTTAATACAGAAAATTGGAAGGGAACTGAAAATTTTGTGAAATCAAAATGTTTGTTTTATTGCCATTTCACTATTTAATTATTTAATTAATTTTTCTTCTAGTGGTTTTGAATGGGGCAGACAAAACACAGATAAAGGTAATAATCCTAAAGGTTATCTGCCTAGTCACTATGAGAAAGTTCAGATGCTTCTTTCTGACAGATTCCTTGGCTTTTTTATGGTTCCTACTCAAGGTTCTTGGAATTACAACTTTATGGGTATGTAATATGTTTTTGAATTGTAGATTTTAGGTAAATATTACTTTCATCAAAAATAAACTTATCAATGGGGCCCATTTAATAAATTTCACTAATTTACAGGTGTTCGACATGATCCTAATATGAAATATGAGCTGCAGTTGGCTAATCCAAAAGAATTTTATCATGAAGTCCATAGGCCAGCTCATTTCTTAAATTTCTCATCTCTGGAAGATGGTGATGGAGTTGGTGCAGATAGGGAGGATGTGTATGCATAAAATGGTTTTCAGAGTAAACCTTCTCTTTTGTAAAAATTGTTTCCTACTCTACCACTTAAGTTTTTAATTCTCCTTTTTTAAAGAGGTTCTGCAGCAAGATTTTATCAGTATTTTATGTTTTCCATTAAGATAAAATATGTTTATGTATTGTTCAGTTCTCATGGTTTGTGGTAAACTGCCTTCTACATTGAAAATCACTGATCAAAGTTTATTTATAAGATGTCATAAACACCTGAAATTACTTTTGCTGATAAAACAAGCTGTGGAGATGTATATTCCAAGAAAAATATTAGAATAAACGTTTTGTAATATGTACTGTGTGCTTTATTCACCTTACTTAATGCTTAAAGAAGAAGCAATTGTCTACGTAAACAAAAACATTTTAACAAATTTGCTTCTAGAACTCCGTATTATTGCTGTTGTTATTGAAGAAAACGCTGATTACCTTCTTTCATAACTACTGAAGTCCTTTAAAGAAGCAATTTGCTGACCTGGGTAGCAGTTCATTACAGAGGGCATGCTGTAATGGACTTGACTTGAAAGAGCAAAAGTTTGTACATGGATGTTTCTTGTTGTCGAGCTTTCTCCACATTGAATTGCCTTTGAACACTGGTCCATTCCTTGCGATTGGAACAGAGTAAGTGATCAGGACTTCTGCCACATGCTGCATCAAAGTGGTGCATTCGAATCTCAGGTTGGACATGGAGGTGTATAGTAGCCAAGATGGGTGGACAGGTACCTTGACATTACAATTGCATGAGATGGACCTAAATATAACCTCAGATGGTCAAGTAGGGAGGTCTCCCATCTCTGCATCATTAGCAACTAGTGACTGCATGTCTGGGATCTACGGAATAGAAGTTATGGTATGCTGGAGTGGGTTATCAAAAGACCAAGGATTTAAGAAAGCAACCCAATGAAAATTACTCTTCAAGGATTAATTTTGTTGACTTTCCTCCTTTACAAGCTTCTTTACTTCAAAATATAATTCAATATCTCAAAGACTTGTGAAGCAGAAATGAAATTTCTTGGAGTTTGAGAAATGGAAGCAAGTCTGTGACTGCGATCTACTGGAATGAATAATTCCAAAGAAGCTTGAGTAATGGAAATTGAAGCAAATATAAAAATTTTATTCTGTGCCCATTGACTGTAAAACATTTAGTAAACTATGACTTGCAGTAGAGATCAACATGAACTTCACAACTTTATCACTTTATTCTTGCTTTCTTGTGGAACATTCTTTGGGTCTTGGATGTTTGGATATTGAATTTGAAATGTATTGATTTGGATCCTATTATATAGGAATATTTATATTAATTAAAATTATGTTTGATATAAATGAGAATTAAAATGCTGAAATAAAACTTAATTGGAGTTTATCTGTTGTAGATGCTTTGCTTGTGTTCAGTTTTAGAAGAAAAGACAATTTGTTTGGTTAAAGATTTGACTGGGTACTCTTAGAATGCACTTCAATAAGGAATAATGGCTGTACATATTGATCAAGTTACTTGCAATGAAGTTGGTAGAGAAGAGTGAAATTCAGTTTACTTAGATATTTATGCAGTGAAATAATTTATTTAACAAATTGTTTACATCTTTACAATTTTATTGATGTGTATTACTACAGTGTAGATTTTAGAAAAGATTAAGAAGTAAAATTTATTTAACTTATGTAACGTATCTTTCCTAGATGAAGATACATAATCTTTAGCAAATATCAAAGTTTTTGTTGAAATGTGGAACAACCTTGTGATGTGCGAACAAGTGAAAGAACTATGGATGCCTTCAACATTGAAGAATTTGAACAAACAACAAATCATGCATGTATTTATTTTAGACATTGTATATCTTATTCTGAAATTTTTTTCTAAGTGAATTACAGTTGCACATTGAATGTTTTGAGTTATATGGTAAGCCTAATCATAGTAGTGTATGGTTTAGTACTACTTTCTTGTTCTCTGAGGATTGGTATTTTCTCTGTTAGTCCATTCACATCAAAAGTTTTGTAAGAAATATTTCTTATTTTTACTGAATTGAATAGAATGCTCTGTTTTCTACTCCTTTTACAGTAAAAATACATGTATTGATTGTTTCAAATTGTATGACCGTATATTGGATACATTTGCATGCATGTCTTGTAGACAATATTCCCAAATATTTGAGGTTTTACGAGCATGATTAATATTAAGAATTCTATCAAAAGAATATAATTGAAGATAGTTGGAGACAAATGACCAAGTGGGTGTGTTGTTGCAAGAAACAGATTTTAGCTAGCAGGAAAGGATATTTAATTGTGTATGATATGTATCACATGAGTTCAGTTTTATAACTGTTCATGGAAGATTGGGACATAGTTTCTTGAAGTATTAAAACTACTGAATGACATAAAATTGATGAATACTTTATTTTGTTGACACAACAACTTGATAACTTACACATATATTATTGAAACATGACAGAACAGGCATTGAAAAACATAATTATAGCAATAATCTTAGGGTTGCTCAACTGAGTGCACATGTTGAACTTATATGAACATTTGTGAAAATGGAATTAAAGACTACTTGTTTGTATAAGGTTTCCAATTGCCAGAAAAGTATTATAATATATTTTTCATAGAAATTTTAGTACACTTGAACAAATATACTAAACTAACTTAATTGAAAGTTCAGATTTAACACTTATTAACTGCTTTGGGAGATTATGCTCATTTTGATTGTGCATAATAATTGGGAAACCAAGATTTAAATTTCAGTCAAAGTCAACATTTTATAAACCTCTTCTGTTTGCTATAGAGATTGTCTGTATACTTGCATTTACAAAAATTGTGGATTCAAATAACCCTAATAATAAAAAAATAATACTAATTTGAGGTAAAAATGTAATCACATTATAAAAGTTATATTTCAAAATTTGGTATTACAATGAATAAGCTAAAATACAAGTGAACGATTTGTATTTGCGTGTAGAATGTGCTTACATGCTTCTAAGTTCTTTGTTCCTATATATATCTAAGAAATAAATAGTTTGTGAACTAGCTACTATTTGAAGATGATTTTTTTTTTTGTTCTTTCATTGTGACTCTTGATGCTTAAGGTAACAAATGATTTATTTTCTAGTTTTGATGTCTTTGTTGTTTTGAAAAAAATAATAATTATCTTTGTTAAATATTGTAATATCATTCTCATAAAAATGGAAAGGGGGAGGTTTCTTTTCTATTAGTCAGTTAAAAGTGGTATCAGGAGGAAAGGAACAACCATGAGGAACAGAAATGCAATGAGCATAGAAATGCATTGTGTCATGAGTTTGCTCTTACAGCCAAGTACAGAGATTTCTGAACAATGGTCTGAGAAGACACAAGGGTCTTGGTATATACAATACTGAGACACACTTGATAATTATACAAGTTATTTCAAATGTATAAGTGAAGTTATGAAGCACATCTCATTTATTTATGGTATAATTTTTCCTCTTATTTATACATCCTAAAACTAAAAATTAATGCTGGTCATTGTAGTAAGGACTTGCATACTTATTTACAGTTATTCACATTTGTACTCGCATCTTTTACTTCTCGCAGGATTTCATAAATCATACAGACATTTGAAAACGCATCCACAAAGTTACACACAAAACCAATGTACACTCCTAGTTTTACATGGCACGTCCTAGTAATTTTCAAAATGATAAACATGAGAATCTTCGGAACAAATAATAAGGATTACTCTTCCTAAGCTTAAATTTTAACTAGTGAAAATAAGAAACTACTTATAAACTAGAAGACAAGTATGACAAAACAAAATTAGATTCGTGTGCACTTTCCAAGATTGATTTATCTCTTTGGTTTGCTATTTTTTCAATACTTGGAAAGTATCTTTTTTTATTAAACACATTTCTAAGTGGATACTGTGTATTACCTTGCAAAGTAATGAGTGGATTCACAAATTACTTTGTTTTTCTCTTAAATGCCATTTCAACCATTGCACTTTAAGCTACATCACTATCATCTGACCGTGCCGATGGGGATGTTAGGGTTTTCATTTGGTAATCATCTTTATTCTTGAAGGAAGGTCGGTGGCTAGACATGACGGATCCATTGTGACGTATACCAGTTGTGCGTGTGCTACTTGAATTATTAAGACTGTTAGTATTTGCTGCTCGGCCTGGGCAGAATCTCTCCATAAGTAGTTTCCTAATCCTATCTTTCCATACAAAAATAATGAAGATCAAAACACCTTGCAATGTGTTGGCAATATCAGTAATATACCAATATTCATCAGGGCCTCCAGCTGCAAAGGAGACAATTTCCATGATCCAGTTTACTCCCATTACCAAAAACAGCTTGAAATATAAATTGAATCTGAAAAATAAACAAATGTTAACATGTTTGGATATCAAGAAAATTTGTTAGTGCTTATAAAATATGCATGCTGTAGATTTAATACAGCTGTGAGTATTCACCTTTGTGCATTATTTTCTTCTTCCTCATTGTGTCGCCTACTATCTTGTTTCTTTAAGATCTTGGTCCCCCGTTTAACTTGCTGGATTTTTACTGCTGTCAGAATGAAAAGGATGATGTTGCAGATGATAAGAATAGCAATTGGTCCTGAGAAATATATGAAATTACCCAGATTGCCTGAAAAGAAATGAAAAACATTATAACTTTTTGGAAAATAAATTACAAAAAAATAGGTATCATGCAATTATACAGTTACACTGCTTTCTCCCTTTCACACTCACATGAATAAGAACAATTTAAGGAACAAAACTAAAGATTTATTAAGTTGCTCCAGATAGAAAAGAAGAATATTTTTTATATTTCTTACAGTCTTGAAATCATAAAAAATATCATTTATTAATAAATTTACTTTAATGTTACCTTTCCCACAAGAGTTTTGCATAATTTTCTGGAATGTAAATATGATCCTGTTTTTTAATACTTTGCTAAATTACCCAAAATGGTAGTCACGTAGTAAATGTATCCCTGGATTGGAAACAATTGTTGTTGTTTTTTTCAAATATTTTCTTTACACTTAAAGATATAAGACATTGTTTAATGTATGATTGCAGTTCTGCCCACCACAACTGTCAGAAAATATGTGCAACTGTGTAGCAGTATCAGGAATATTATTCTTAATAACAACTTCATTAGGTTCTTTTTTCTTGTGGTACTGCATATAAATATGACATTTTTCACTTTTCAAGTTGTGAATACCCAGATAATTCACTCAGAGTTGTCTATAATAAAATTGCACTTGCACTGGTATGTGCGGCAGAAGTAATTTTGCAAGAAATAGATGAGCATGTCACATGCAAGTTCATTCTTTTTGAATTCAAATTTTTACTTCTTTCAGTTTAGTATTTTTTGCTTGGCTCTTTTTATATGTAAAACTTTTTCATTACATCTGCTCTTTTCACATTTTCTGCCAGGATGTACCTGCCTTTTAATTTTTATACTTAACTCTTCACATTTCAAACATCCATCCATCTGTGGCAATTTAGAATTGTAACAGCATGTGCTGTTTCAATACAATACAATACAACAACAACAAAAATCAGTCACTATTAATCCGCACAGAGTGCATTGCGACATATGGTATTTCTTCATAAAATAGACTTACATACAAGCTATACAATGATCAATACAATACAACAACAACAAAATTAAAAACCGCACAAGTGGACATATGATATTTCAATTCTTTAAAATTTGGGGGTACTTTGCATGAAGCTCCCCGGACGTTTTCAAAAATTTCTTAGAAACAGCTTCAAATTTTTGGTTTAAATTTCATTATAGGAATAGAGTATCTAGGTTGATTTTCACTGATAACTCTGAATATTAAAAAATTGCAAAAGACTGAATTTTCTTTGGTGGCTACCTACAACTACAATATAGAAGATACAAGATTTTTCCTTCAAATAAAATTTGTTCTCCATTAAATAATTGATTTTCATTAAGTTCATGTACATTTTTTAGAAAATTTTAGTAGTTTTCGTGCAATATGTGCAATACAGCTCCAAAGTTTTCTTTAAACTTTTGGTAGAAATATTGCTAAATGTACTCTATAAGATGACATGAACGCCATATTGCTTTATTCTTTTTTTCTTCAAAATTACAGAAATGTAATTTTTTTTGGCATGTCTGTCACGTTGTTAATAATGTCACTCGCGGGAATTTGTTCACATCATTGTGTTTATGAGTACATATGCTTTAAATAATGTCATTTAAAGTTTCTTGAAAAGTCAATCATTTTCTGTGAGAACCTGCTCAAACTTCAACTAAATTTTCAGAAACCCTCAAACGCCACTTTCTTTTAAATGGCTCCAAATTTTTTCTTCAAATTTTTCGAATTGATAGTGCTAATTGCACTCATTAATTTAACGTTAAAGTTCATTTTGGGGTGTTTTCTTTTTCTTCATCCAAAAATTACTCTAATGTAAGTTTTTTTAAAAATATCTCTCACGCCGTTAATACGCATATTCCCATCAATTTGTAAGCAGTACTGTATTTATGAGTTAATGTATTTCAAATTATTTCTAATGGTTTTTCGAAAACTTGAATATTTTCTGTGAAAAAGATATTTAAATTTCGAATTTAAAGTACCGTTAAAGCCCAATTTTCTTAAAAACGGCCCCAATTTTTTCAAAAGAAATTGCTATTTAGGGCGATATTTTACTGTTATTTAATATTGTTAAATTAATATTTCCGTTCTAGTATTGGGAAACCGAAAAATTAGGAAAATGTTTAAGATATGTACCTTGGGGGGTCGATGGCAATATGTGGCAAGTTCGTATAGCTAGCCGAGACAAAGGGAAATAGAAAACTAATACGAGAAAGTTTGTGCCATTCTGTAGCAGTTCTAGTTCATCTTGCAATTGGGGAACAAGAATTCATTAGATGGATTATTTGATTTTTTTTTTTTTTATCATCTGCGGGGCCCCGAGGTAAGAGCATCTTCAGCCCTGCTGTGCCCAAAGACGGTCCTGCTGTTCTTTACAGTACTGCAAAATTATTGCAGCGTAGCCGCTTAAGGTCGAGGGCTCAGAGATGTCAGAGGAATCCATTCCTCAAACTTCTCGGTTTAGGAGGAAACTCGCCCCTTCTAGCACGTGTTGACAGCCCTACTCCAGTTGTGAAAACACTGACCCTGACTTTTCGAATTTGCGAGGTGCAAGCTTTTAGTTGCGTTTCCTACTAGAGTGAAGCATTTTGTGCGTGATTTGTTAAGTTCTCTTTGAGTGTTTATTGTTATGTTTGTGATTATTGCAATGAGTCCGGTTCAGAAAAAGGTGCATAAGGAAGTCCTCAGTCAGACGCGTGAAGTCGTTGTAAAAGTATATGAATTTATGAAAAGAGAAGCAAAAGATTATGTTAGAAATTTCAAAATACCCGTGGTAGCAGCCAAGAAGTGCTTTGACAAAATCTATTCGCAGAATTAATAAGGAAATGAATTCTATTGAATCAGGAGAATAGTGTTCATTTTCAACTCCGAATCAAGAGGAAGAGGAATACAGAGGTATCTGCTCTCGATGGTTTCAATGAGAGTGAGATTCGCCGCATAATGAGTTTAATGCACCACATCAACAAATTGTTCTTTTTAACGGAAACGGCGCAAACGATAGGACAGAAAGTAATGGTGATGCTAGTTAAGACAGTGAGGAAACGTGCATCAGTAACAGTAGAAAAGGTATAGATGATGAGAGCAGAGTCGGGCCATCACGTGAATTTGGCGTTTCTCCACAATCGAACGAAGACACTAAAGCAAATGAATTTCCTAGATAGTTCGCCAGTAGACGTGCGGTGGGGCAGACTAAATGCGAGAGAGAGGCGCCACCCACCTCCCTCCCCAAACTTTCAACTTCCCCCTCGACTCGCTGAATACCGTAAAAGAATAAGCTACACTTCAGTGAAACAGTCTTTTAGTGTTTGACAGTGCTAAATTGATATAGGAGATAAATATTCTATAGCAATTTCTAAATAAATCTTTCTAATAAATAAATTAGTACTTCTTTGTACAATCAGGTACAAAATACCTTCTGAGTAAATTCTTTATTTGCGTTAAAAACAGTTAAAAATTGTGTGTGACTTGTTATGGGGAGAAGTTAATTGAAAGTTACATTTACATCCATTTTAATTATTTTTTCTTCACAGTAGTGGCGGCTCAGGTTCGATTCGCCGCAGATAATCGTAATATTCATACAATCTTAATATTTGTAAAAATTGCAATACCGAGAAGAAGAAATTCTACCACAATAAAACTTATTCCACAGATTAGGAATATCACAATACATAATTGATCGGAATTACAAAACTGTTCATGCGTTTTGACCTTGAGCATTTAGTGTACGGAGTGAAACTGCCACGCGCTCGCATCAGAGCCAGCAAACCACAGCAAACCAATTGCCGGCCGATCAGATCCCAGACAAGTTCCATGGGCGACATGCCAGGCAAGCAATGGAACCCGCGGAATGCTTGCACATTCTTCGCCACGTGCCTTTGGGCATCGTTCTACCGAAATCTGGCACGTGGGGCTGCTAACAGGACGAGCAGTACCTCCGGCGCTAAAAAGTCCCTGATGTAGCTATTGCTGTTCAGATTGCCGTCAATACGTATGAAGCGAGATTGCACATTGTAGCCAATGGTGTCCCAAACCATCACACGGCGTTTGTCCGCTCTGGCGCGGAACAATTCTGACTGGCTCATTGTGATCACCACGGTAGCGTCGAACATATACGCGGCTATCGCTGTAGCAAAAATGGAAGTGGGACTGGTCTGAAAACACTACGTTTTGCCTCTCTGCACACCAGTGAACACATTCACGCGCCCATTGCCGTCTGAGGCGTTGGTGTTTCTAGTGCAATGCGTGCGATATTTATTTAGTCGTGCACATATCAGCATGTCACATATCAGGTGTTGCTGCTTCATCCAATCGGGAGCTTATATATCACTACAGTGACGACACTATACGTTCAGGACGGGACGTTCAAGCTCCCGATTGGATGAAACCGTAAACAGCTGATTTTCTTTAAATGGACAGTTAAATAAATCCTATTATACCATTCAGATGGACAGACAGACAGACAGACCGACACACGCACACAATTATTGGTTGTGATAAGTTTTCTTGGGAGTCGTTATTGCTGCTGTTGATGAACTGGGACCGACACATGAATGATCTCATAAGAACGAACTTTTATGACTTACTCAAATAGTTTTCCAAAATTTAAAATGAAATAAATGTTTAACTCATTAGATTATCATTCTCCCAATTTTATAATACTGGTACTTTGAGGGTTATATTACACATTACATATTTACTCTTTGTGAAAACTGTTTCAAGCAGTCGCCAACGGATCCAGTTAATTGACCCTAGAAAGGATGGGGGATTTGTTACCCTCACGTGTTTAGTTTTTTGTTTGCTTTATTGTAAATAAATATTCAGTACCTTACATTCTCATTGCTGGGAAAAGACTGTACTTGCTTATTATCTATTTCAAATGACTCACATTTATCCATTTAAAATTACAAAAAATTGCATTTTACGAGTAATAATGATATCGTGTGTATAATATGTCAATATCTCAAAGGCAGCGCAGCCAGGGGTTTCTATGCGCGAGTGAATGCCTGCGCACGCTGTAGATTGTGTCCAACTGACTTCAGTTTTCTTATAAAGAATGTTTCACTTTTGATAAATTTAAAATTTATTTTTATTTGTTATTTATAATATTACATTGAGATATTGACTTTCTTTACAATAGAAAATTAGTACAAATTATATTTATGAACCCGTGTTATCGGCTTGGGACGGAGGTATGAGCCCCCTGAGTGCACAGTTGTTCAAAGGTAACTTCCTCAGATTGATTTCAGCATTACCCCTTTGGACAGTGGTTATCTCGGTCGTTTTATTTCATTTATCACTTACTTTTAAACCAGCATTTCAGTTCTCCAAATCCAGGTTTAATGTATGAATCTGGAATATCTGGATGTAAGTCCATCACCATGCATATAATAAGCATAATGAGAGGTGATCCCCAACAATACAAGGAGTAAATGATGAACTTCTTGTGCTCTCGTTCTTTCACGGATCCCCGCATCGGGCGAAAACCACTGAAAAGGAGAAGAAAAACATTAAAATCTTCAAGTGGTTACAAGTGATTACAATGTGATGCATAATAACAAGACAGCCTTTACAGGCCGAGGGTATTAATAATTTGTGTATCTAGGGCGTTAAGTTGATGTTTTTGTCCGGAGTGCTACTTCAAAGCCGGGGTCTCAGTCATGAGGCGATGGTAGTTCCCCGATGGGCAAACACATAAAGTTACGCCCTTGGTGCGGACAATACTTTATGCTTTACTAGTTCATTGCTCAATTAAATGTTAATTCGAAAAAATATTTAAATTCATCCAACATCACAGGTACAAAGATGCAACGTAATCGTCAGTTGTCAATATGACATCATATAGAATACACCACCTATCTTCAAGTAATGTACTTAAAATTAATAATACACCAATTAATAATACAACAACAAATAATGTAATTACGATTGGCGTCTTTCAAAATAGTTGGAGTAATTTACAGAATCACCTTGGTTCGATTTCTTGAGGTTCGAGTTGCTGACGTTCCTGTGCGTGAGATTCTAGTTAGATTCGAGACAAAAAAGATTAGAGTTGTTAGGTTGAGTTAATGGAAGAGAAAGGGGAATTAACATGCGAGAGTTCTCGCACGGGTACGCTAGTTACTCCATATATACGTAGTATGTATATGGGAAGGTAAAAATAACAAAAAAAGGTTTTCCCAAAAACGGCTTCAAATTGTTTCTTTAAGCTTTTGGTATGATCAGTTCTGAATGTACTCTATAAGATGAAATAAAAGTCATTCTGCTCTATTTCATTTTTTTAAAATACAAAATTGTGATTTTTTTAGTCTCTCACGTGGTTAATATTTACATTAGTGGCAACATTCTTCACTTTATTGTATTTGTGAGTACATATGCTTTAAATAATATCACATGAAATTTCTCAGAAACTCGATCGTTTTCTGTGAAAATGAGTTCATAATTCCGTATTTTTGGACACGCTCAAACGTCATTTTCTAATAAATGGCTTCAAATTCTTAAAAAAATCTCTCTCATGTCGCAAATATGCACATTTTCAGCGATTTGTAAACAGTATTGCATTTTTCAGTGAAAAATATTTCAAATAACTTCTGAAAAAGTTCTTCGAAAACTCAAACATTTTCTGTGAAAAAGAACTTTAAATTTCGAATTTACAGTAGTGCTTAAACGCCATTTTCTTAAAAACTACTTGAACGTATTCGTAGGATATTGCCCTTCAGGATGATGAGGTTTTACTGTAATTTAATATTCATAAAAAATATTTCCTTTCTGTTATTAGAAAATCGAAAAATTGAGAAATTTTCAAAATAAAAATGTACTTTGGGCGCCGATAGATGGTAGCTGGCAAAGGTAAATGGCAAGTCCGAATTGCTATCCGAGACCAAAGGAAATAGAAAACTAGAACGGGAAAATCTGTGCCATTCTGTAGCACCACTAGTTTATTTATTTACGTTAAAAACTGCGTGTGACGTGCTTCGGGGAGAAGTTACTTTAAAGTTATATTTATGTCCAGAAGCAAAGCAAGGGGTCATCTCAGCATTTGCTCAAGGATCTGGGAAACTGGACGAAAATCTGATCGAGATGGCGGTCGTTGACCCTGAAGTTGAAGTACAATACGTGTTACATTTATTTAGAATTATACAATCCAAATGGTAAATAATACATTAAATGTCATTGTTAAAATTAATATTAATTTCCTTTTGGATGCACGGTATAGTCTCTAATTGTATAGAAACAGTTGTGCAGCAGAGAAGATTTTACTTGGGACGTAAAACATTTGTATCGAATTTAATCGTTTAATGTAATCTGGAAAGGTGTTAAATAATGTACATGTATTTATTAAGAGTTTTTGTAGTGGGCTGTTGACTGTCACCTGATGAATATGATTACTACGTCGAGTGTTGTAATTATAGACATCGGCGTTTGCTGAAAATATATTCCCGCCCTAAAATAAGTAATATTTGACAAAAAACACTGATTCGTATACCAAGAGGCAAGGAAATGGTAAAATACCTAGATTAATAAAGAGAGTCTTACAAGAATCGCATGGGTGGGATTTGCTTATTATTCTTACAATTCTTTTTTGTAATCTAAAAGTCTAGGAACTAAAGAAGTATTTCCCCAGAATACGAATATTTTGCGATATCTCAGGCGGGAATGAACATTCGCGGAATATACACGAGCAGTATGAAGGTTGAATGCATTTGAAAGACTTCTGAAAGCTTAGTATGAAGAACTTAAAGTAGTGATCAATTCATTTAAATGGACGTTCCATTTAAGGTTTGACTGAACTGGAAGACCTAAAAATTTTGTCACCTTAACATCAGTCAATGGCACACCGTTCAATGTCAATGGAGTAGAGAACTGTTTATTTGAAAACTGTACTGAAACCGTTTTCTTTTCATTTTCTTTTAATTTGTTAATACGGAAACAATTTGAAATATCTCATATTGTACTATTTACGGTTTCTTTATTGCAAAAGAATATTCGTATTATCCGCAAAGTGAACTGATATTCCATTTGTAATTGTAGAGGTCATATCGTTTACGTATAGTAGGAAGAGAATAGTACCTAAACTCGATATCCGCTGGACTGCATATGCAATTCGCAAATAATCGGAAAGGTGTGTACATAATGTTCCATTATTCCAGTAAGGTATTTCTATTCTGAGATCGTTGTTTAAGAACCAATCTACGTAGAACAATACCACGAATTTCTTTCTAAGGTAATTTTGAAAGTAAAATTTTATGATCAATGACGTCAAGAGCTTTCGAAAGATCGAAAAATATTCGAATAGGTGTTTTGTTTTTATCCACGGATGAGGCGAGATCTTTAAGAAAATAAAATAGCGCTGTTTCCGTAGATTTCGATTTTCGAAACCCATGTTGGGAATCTGAAATCGCGTCGTATTTACTAAGGAAGGTTTCTATTCGTAGGTACAAAAAATTATCTCTAGTATTCTTGAAGGAAAAAAAAAACGAAAAAGAAAAATTGGTCGACATTTTTGAATTTCATTTTTGTTCCCTTTTTTGAAAAGCGGCTTAATCTTAGCTGTTTTAAAAACATCTAGAAATTTTTTGGGCATAAGGACACATTAAATATGTGAGTTGACGGCAGTGTAATGGTGGGCGCACAAGTCTTTTAACAATCATTCCTGAAATTGATCTAAAACAGACGAATATTTGGTTTAGTCTACCGATTATTTTAAGAATTTAATAGAAGTTTTGGAAACAAACTTCATATCTAAAATTTTGGGGGAATTTGGTTTAAGGAGACTAGGCACTGTTGCCGGATCGTTCACACTTCTATCGTTAACTCTTTTAACAACGTTCTCTGCATGGTTTCTAGTTGAGTTGGTCGAATATTTCATATTGCTTTTGTTTTATTATTTGAGTTCAAAATATCCTGATTATGTTTCATGATTTTCGCCTGCCTTATGACTTTTATTAATAATTATTTGAATTTCTAAAGTAGAGAAGGAAATCTTGAGATACGTTATGATTTTTAGAAAAGAAAGAAATAATTCATTTGTTTTTACATGATGTCCCTTGTGTTATCCAAGAATTTCTTTTCCGTGAAATACTTAATTTTCATTTTTAAAGAGGAAAGCAAGTGTTGAAATGAAATGAAAGCGTTGGGAAAAAAATTACATTTATCGTTTGTATAGTAAATCGCGTCCCATGACACTTGCAGCAAGTAATTCATGAATAATTTTATTTTACTTTCAGTAAACAATCTACTCATACGTGTATTATTATTTATCGTGTCAGTGTTCACATTTCTTATAATAGTAAGAATTTGTGCATCGAGATCACTGTATCCTAAATCTTTTGTTTCAATTTCATATCGTTTTGTTAATTATTATTTGATATATTGCCGTCTTTGAATTTAGTGTGATCCGTGATTTATTTTAATATCTAAACTGAAGGAATGAATGAAGTTGAGAAATTGTTCTTTCTCGCAAGATTCGACCAGAAAATTAATGTCCAAATCTCTGCATACAACAATGGATTCAAAAGAGAGATTGGTGAATTTGTTTAGTGTTATCTCCAGTTTTTTAAAGAATATAATATAATTATATAATATACTGCTCTCCTTGTTGGAGGCCTGTAGATGCAAAGTAATATAATTTTTAGCGTAGGACGATGTACTGCAGATATTTCAAAACTATTTTCAACGAAATACACATTTAATTCCGTCAAGGAGATAGAATCGATAATATTTCTAACTAAGAGGGTTCAAAATAAGGGTGGGGGTGGAGAAGTTAAGGCAGATGAAAGGGATGGATTTTTGGCAGTGGGGCTGCGTAAGCTCGTTGGTGATGTGTGTGCAAAGCTTGTTACCGACTGCATGTTTTCCAGCAAGGTTCATGTGAAGACCATCCCGGGTGAAGTGTTTTGCTGAGATTAATTTCAAAATTGTTTTTAACTGCGTCCCAGGAGCACTGAACATAAGCACTACCTCCTGACGTCACAATTTTCCTCCTTATTCCCATTCCACGCATTTTACGTAATGTTCCAAAAATTTGGGCGCATGCACAATATTGTTATTTACATTGAAAATTTCATTTTGTAGAACGCCACAAATTGTAATAGAATTTGAAGTACAACACTTGCCTGTGCAAACTCACGATCTTTGCCGAAGTTGACAATAGCCGACAACACCCGAACGAACAATTGACTCACGTTTTCCACTCCTGGAAAACAACTATTACGTTTAATGTGATGTCCAACATGCTAAGTTGTGGAGACGCGACAGAAACATTTAACGTACATGTGGTGAAATCGCACCTTCAGAAGAGGTTCGAGTTCGAAATTTTCGAGTCAAAGAGGTTCCAGACAGAGGAGTTCAAGTAAATGTTTCTTATTTTTTGTCTGCTTTCGTAATTTTTGGTGCTTTTGTATTTTTAAGTTTAATAAATCGAATTTCTGAGAAAGTGAGTGTTATTTGTTGGCTTGGAGCGGGCCTAAAGAATTCAAACGCAGAGCGCGGTTGTAAAGAATTCGAAAGGCCCCTAAGGGTATTAAGCTGTAATGTATTTCGATTCAGGTCCGTGAAGACAGCGACGAACTAGTAAATCACAAAACTAAGTTGATCACTGGAGGATGAAAAAGTTTTTGTTTGTGGATATTAAACAGTACAAAAATTAAAATGTTACGAGGGAGGTGTATAAAGAATACATCAGCTCTGTTATTAATTCATAAATCCTTAACAAGTACGTACATATAGTATAAAACGCAGGTTACGTAATGAAACAATTCTCTTAAGAGCTTACTTATATGAACTACTTAACATTGTTGACAAGAAATTGCATTTATCATTAATGTATTAATTTTTTAATTCTCAGCTTTCATTAAAAAAATTACTCTTCACAATCCACTAGTGTACGACATGTGACAGAGTATTTATTGCTTATTTATTTAATTCCAAAAATGACAGTTCTTTAGAATATTATATCAAATTAATATTGTGGGATTTTTAGAGGAAGAATTTAACATCATTGTACTACTTACCTAAATGTCCACCATATGTCCAAGCACATTACATTCAGCCAGAAGAAGCTGGCAAGGAATGCGAAGTAGATGATGAATGCTGAAAACAAAATTAAAAAATTGTTAAATTACGCAATTGTATAAATACGGGCAAGAAGTAATTATGAAAACATTAGCATGTGAAGAAATTAAAAAGTTGCCTACAAAGTATATCTTTGACTATGAAATATTCTCAATTTACTTCGAAAGGTTATTTCATCTTCTATTTCCTACATTACTTTGCCAGTGCGTTTTATTGCTATATACGAGTACGTTAAGTTTGCAAAAACAGAGTTTTCAGATTTCAGTCGCATAATTGTAGAATGATGCAATTAATATTAAAATTATTATTATTATTATTATTATTATTATTATTATTATTATTATTATTATTATTCAATTATTTATTAATTTTAAATTCCAGCAAAAGTTCAGAACCATGAAGAAACGGCACTTTTTACATTTATGGATAAACGGATTTCGATGGGACTTTGGGAGGTAGAGTAGTTTATTGAAAATAGATTTTCAAGCTCGTAAGGCGTTCGCGATACCAAATTTTCATTTTTACTGGTTCCCATTTGTTGTTGTTGTTACTGGGAACGGGTGCAACCCGCAATGCCCTATACTTGGGCAAGGACAGTTAGGAGCATTGTCTTGTCTCGGCCGACCTAGGCTAGCCCAGCAGAATAGCATAACGAGTTAGAGCACTGTGGGGTAGGTATGTATTTTTGTTTTTCCCACAAGAGATATGACCTTTCTTCTCCTTACTAATCAATTATTGTGACTATTCCACTCGTGAATTTCAAACCAATAGAGCCAAACTATACATACAAAATGCCCCAATCAGGGCGGCGTATCTCAAAACTTTCATAGCTTTTTCTAACCCATTTTTCTTACAGCTTCTACTACTGGCCAATCATAAACTGTGACTCATCTCTCTTAGGAGGCGGTATATATCGATCTCTATTTCGATGTCCAATAAACAGTGTATGTACTATAATATAACCTCTTTAATTTTAACATAGTTTTTAGTATTTTTCAATATTTTGTGCACTTTGGAACTCTGTTGAACGTAATTTGATTCGTGGAATAATCGTACTAAATACTATTCGTGCTTTGGAAATTCTCAGATAAGTCCCCTCCTCGCTTCGCGATTCGGAAATTTATCGACAATTTCCAAGCACTCATGGTATTACCTATGATAAATGTCCGTGCAATTGGGGAACTTCAGCTAGAGTGCAGCAAAAATATTGTCTTAACAGAAACCATCACAATTCCCAAATCTAATTATCTCAAGCTCTCAAATCATCAGTGGTAAATGTAACTTCAAGTTAACTTCTCCCCATTGCACGTCACACAGTTTTTAACTGTTTTTGGCGTAAATAAATAAATGATTTATGTCAACTCTTGCTTTGATTTAGCATAATATTCCAGAAGTCTCTCCTAATAACAAACTATAATAAGCGCAATTTACGGTCTAAGACTCCCCAATACATTTTTGGGCAAACCAATGGCACGGCCTACTTATATTGGCCTAATGTATTTAAATTCTGTACATCGATATTTTATAAAATATTTTCTTTTGAAAAATTTAATATGCTTTGAAAGATTAAAGCGTGCGAACTCTGTGTTAAAGACTAGAGAATTTAGAAAGAATATAGGATTTAAAATCTGTGAAATGATTGCACTCCATAACCAGGCAACATGGTTCGGCAATTATGTTTTTCTACTCCTATTGTTTAATTCTGTCATTTGATGGCTGCAACCCTTTGCATAATGATACTCTTTACGATACAGACTTCAATATGAAGCAGGTTTTTGACAAATTACAGAGAAATTTACAAACCAAGTATTGATAATTATTCTAGACATGTTTCGATTCATTGAGAATCGTGTACACTAAAATTGCATTTAATATATTATGCTTGTCGATTTTCATTTCTTTTATTAGTAGTAATTGTTTACGTGGAATATTATTTAAAATAAGTGGGATCGTAATTTCACGTTGATCCTATTCGACTAGTGGTAACGCAAAGACACCTGCGGCAGGATAGGAAGCTACCGCTAGGTGGCCTTAGCTGAATCCTGCATGTTAACTGCCACGAACCGATTCGGTGTAAAAGTTTAACTTAAAAACGTTACCAAGAGTCGTAGAAAAAGTACCGAATGAAACTCGATGTAATGGGTATTAATACCTCCGTGTGAAGTTTAGGATACTCGCTCGTGTACACACGCATCATTACGTCATCGTTTCACAATGCGCCGCTGGTGGACAACTGCTTCCGCGGCCGCGAGCCGGAGCGCGTGGGGCGGCGCGCGGGGGCGTGGCGCGGGGGTGGAGCGCGTGGGAGGCTCCGAAGCAGAAGATGCGAGGGTGGCCGCAGGTGCGCGATACGACGCGCGCTTCCTCCCGCAGGATGACAGCGGAAGCACAGGCTGCGTGCTTGCACAATCCGCCGACGGAGAACTGCCTCTGGTCGCTTGGGAGCCCGTTCGTCGCTCGTTTTGCGAGTTGAACCCTATCAAGACTGAAAAACATTACATTCATGCCTGTAAAAGCATCGTATGGAGCAGGGCTGTCCAACTAGCGGCCCTCGACAGGTTGTTTAATCGAAAACTTCCCTGCATCCATGTCTGGCGAGAACCTTGGGGGCCCAGCGCACGCACCCTGTCAGGGTCAACACCCCTTAATGTAAAAATAGGTTAAGTTTATATTTAAAGATTTTTCTAGCGAATTCATAAATTCAAAGTCATACCAATGTGCTTCGCTGCGTTATGCATGGTACCGCCAGATATCACGCACGACCCCCCCCCCCCATATCAGAGCAGCCGGGCGATGAACAATACTGGAAAGACAGGTGTGGGTCGCCCAAGTAAGGAAGGTATTGCCCGCCACCGCATTGAAGGATATCGGAGTGGCCCGGGAGGCCTTAGAAGGTGCACACCCCTGGTATAGAGGTGATACAAATTTCGTATTCATGAATACGGTTCAGTGAGACAATTGTGGCAATGGCAATTGTTGGCAAACGGATATCTCTCTCTCTCGTTATTACTTCTTATTCGACACTTTTGTCTTTCTAGGCCTTCAAGGTACATAATCATCAAGAGCTCTTGGGATATAGCCATCCTAAAGTCGGGTTTGTTTTTGTTCTTTGAAAAGATTTTCCCTATTCATAATCACGATAACACTATTTCGAGCACCTGAGATTAATGTTTGATATTTCTGCGTCAGCTGCTCCACTACAAAGGGACTTGTTTCCCATATTGTCTTCTCCATGCGAAGTCCGACCAGAAACCTTTTAAATTATTAGAATTTAACTGAGGGGAGATAATGATCGAATCTGAAATGAAACGTATCCCTCCCCTGCATTTCTTTAAGAATTCGCGTTGCTTTTTGTAAAACAGAGAAAAACTAAATGTGCAACGATAAATTCCTATTTTAGCTTCCTTTTTTCGCAGATTGTTTTCAATCTTGAAGTTTTTAGAAGTAACCACTGGATTTGGTATGTACGCAGAAAATGAAACACGTGAAGTGTCTCTCTCATGAAGCTATCGATTCGCAAAGTTACTCGAGTACGTGTATGGCATGCAACATGAGACTCTTGGCGTCTACCTCGAGGAGTGCGATGCGGGTTGGACTGCGTCGGAAATAATGCGACACACAGAGCGTGCACTCGGCGCAGAGCAACCGCAGCTCTTCCTGTTTGCGGCGCTGCTTCCGAATCAGCGCCTTGCCTTGATACCTCGCTGGGCGACTCCCTGCCTGTGGGCTTCAGAACTGGAGCGGAAAATGGAGCAGGAATAACATTCATTAAGACATTATTCGTTCTTCGAGGTTTGGCCGAAGGATGGCAATGCCAACTGGCTACGTATGGTGAATCACCCTCGGATAAATGAGTAAAGATGCATGGTATGATGGCGCATTTAAAAATGGTCCAAAAGACGAACTAGAGACGGAGGAAACTACAAGAGAACTCGTAAAAAACTTAAGCAAGTCTCATTTGTACACTCAAATTAAAAGATGTTTTAATACTAATATTAACACTAATATTTATATTAGCACAAAATATAGAATTACAAAAGTAATAGAGGTTGAAAGGTATCACATCGCCATAAAATGCCACGTATTTTGGTCCATTGTTTTCAAAAACCTTTGTTCAATGTAAGAATTTGAACATCCCAGAAGGTGTTTTGTTCATTCTGAATATGAATTGAGCCTTACATTATTGTCAATTTACCTCTCGTGTGATAATTTCTATACTCCTTTCTGTGATGTTCTCGATATTCCAAAATATTTTGTTTTGTTAATACAATTCACAAAGATGTTCAAGCCAGTTAAACTCGGAGAAGTTGCAAAATGAGTGAAAGAGCATACTCAGATCGGCTTGCACCCAAAGTAAAGTTGGCGTGAGCTCCAGTATTGTGGAATATACTTGAAAGAAATGGGGGAAAATGTAAATATTAATTAGAAAACTTCCGATTCTTTAACTATTTTATATAAGAATATCACAAACTATTAAGAAAATTACTAAACACGAATCGTACACAAATCCATAATGTATCACTTGAATTCTCAAATTTGCGCGATTAATAGAGTATTTCATTTGTACATTATTGACTCCGACAACGCATGGGTAAATTTATCTTACCTAACTTAAAACACACCAAGTGAATTATAGTTACTTATCTACAAGTGGATAAAGATCTTTAAATGCAAATGGGTTGACTATTTACGAGCGTGGTAACGCGGCTCAATAATTATTATTCTGTATTATTAATACTGAACTGGGCAATATTAATCATTGCTATTGTAATATATTGTAAGAAGCTTTATTATCCTGGAAATAATAAGGTGCCATTTAATCTACTCCGTATTTAATCTAACACGTAAGTGAACAGCGTACTAAGGCGATCGCATACGAACAAAATATTTTATTAAATTGAAAGACTTTTTGTGTTATTCTTTGTTAAAAGTTTAAATAAAAAAATAAATTTACAGTGAGATAAGTCTGTTATCAGTCGTCGGTTCATAATTGCACGTGAGGTCTGTGCGGATGACGT